CAAACATCTGCCTCCTCCAAAGGCACAGGGCTGCTCTTCCCTCTCCCCCCCTAGTCCTGCTTTCCCAGAGTTCAGCTCTTCCCTGGAAAAATTGTGCCTTGGACTGCCAGGGAAGTAGGTGAGCAAAGGATGTGCTCCTGGGGCTCTTCCAGCTGGGACAGGGGCATCTCTGGAACACTTCCCCCTGAGGCAGAGAGGGGTGGAGGACATTCCCAGGATCCATGTAGTGGGCTGGTGGCACTGAGGGCTCAGCCTTGCTCAGCTGCAGGGGGTCAGAGGCTGGCAGGACACACAGGGGGCTGCTGGGTGGGTTTGGGGCTGTTCTCGGGCTGATCCAAGTGGGAGTTTGCTGTTTCTTGGGGATTTTTAATAATAAAAAGTATGTGCTGTCTAATGTCACCTAATTCCACTTGCAAGCAGGAATCCCAGAGTGGGTCAGGCTGGAAGGGACCACAGTGGGGCATCTGGTCAAGCAAGGTCATCCCAGAGCACATGGCACAGGATTGTGTCCAGATGGTTCTGGAACATCCCCGGTGAGGGAGACTCCACACCCCCCCTGGGCAGCCTGGGCAGTGCCTTGCTCTGAATGTCCTATTTCCAGAAATAGGACATATCCCTGAATTCCCAGCAGCTCATCCTGGCCAGGTGCCTTCAAGCCAAGGGACATCAAGGACATTTTGTGCCTCAGTTTCCTTCTCTGGGAACAGTTTAGTGTCGTGCCTGTGCTCTGGTCCCAAAAGCTGGCATGTGGAAAGTCTCTTGTGTTTCTAATCCCAAGAGCTCAGGGACCCAGGGAAATTGGGGTTTAAGCCTTTTTAAAGGATGCAACATCCCTCTGCTGGCTAGAAGTGTTGGGAAAGCCTTCCCTTCCCAATCCCAGCTCGGATGAAAACCCACAGTCCAACGTTTCACAGCTCCAGGGTGAGCTGTGCACTCAAACCCCACAAACACCCTCTTCACTTTGCTCTTTGTTTCCAGCCTGGTGGAGGGAGGGTGATTTTCCCAAGCTCTCCAAAGCAAACAGGAGGTCTGACAGCAGCTCAGCCCCAGGAGGGAGGAGAGAGAGAACAAGAGCACAGCTAATTCCTCCTCAGCTCCAGCAGCAGGAAGGAGTTGTCAGTGCTCAGGACAGGAAGGAGGCTCCATTTTTTTTCCATGTAATTTAAGTTTTAAATAGAGCTGTGCTGCCCTGTGATCTGGGTTTGGAAAAGAAGAAAGGCAGGTTGATTCCCTGAAAGTGTGGATGTGCTGTTGGGCTCCAGCAGCAGTGCTGGAGCTCCTGTTCACACAGGGCAGGCTCAGGTTGGATCTCAGGCAAAGGTTCTTCCCCCAGAGGCTGGTTGGGCACTGCCCAGGCTCCCCAGGGCAGTGGGCACAGCCCCAAGGCTGCCAG